TTTCACATTTGTTAATGGTGTCTTTTGATGAGCAGAAGTTCTCAATTATAATATATTCTAGATTTTTTTCTTTTTGCTTTCGGTTTGTTTTTGATAGGCTAAAATATAGTTACAGGAAGAGCATGCCAAACAACTTTATGTTTGAATAATTTTTATTACAGACTAATTTTCTTTTGTAGTCGTAAATATGTTCCCCCATTACCAAAGTGCAGTGCAATAAAAGTCACATTTCTCTTTAATGTAATCATATCATTTATTTCAATTATTTTCTTCTCCCCTCCTTGAGATGTCTTTTTCATGATTAGCCAAAGAAGCCCCCAGTGTACTTTTCTGTGTCTAGCGAGCAAATCTGAGTGACTGTTGACTAAAATCAGAATTCAGATGGGATCTCTTGAAATCAGAGAATATGACTAATACCACCAACATTCATTTCTTTGAAATAGACCTTAGTATGGTCAAACCAGACAGTGCTGTGGCCTTAAGTCTGAGTAGACCCATTTTTCCCTGCTGCCACTACCACTGGGACGTGTGCTCACCACTGACTCTGGTTCAGGGAAAAGTGACTGAATTTTCTGCCTGTGACACGGTTGCTTACACCACCTGCCTCTTTCAACCATGATCGTTCTTTAAACGTGAGGGAAAACAGTCCTCCTCTTCCCAGCCCGCCCAGGGCTTTGCTCAGTGAGGAACATTCCATGGCAAAATTATAGCTGGGCTTCCAGGCTCACAGCTTTCTACACTAACTGATACCATCATTGCTGCAGGGCTGCATCTTCCCCAGACCTAGGGGATGGCTGGGAAGGACAGGACTGAAGGTCCAACGCGTGATGTACAGAGGACCGCTTTTCCCGTCAGTCCCCTGACTTGGTCGTGGCCCAGCCCTCATGCCCAGTCACTTCCCTGCCCGCAGGTGACCCATGATCAGGGCCTTCCCTGCCTTTCTCTGCACAGCACCCTGGTCAGAGAGAACCCCTGTACTCTGACAAGCTTCTGTAACTTTGGATTTTGAAGAGAAGTGTGGGGATCTTGATTTCTTTTTTCCTCTAAGGCCCCTGGGCAAATTACACAGTTGTTCCCAGTTAATCCTCAGTAATATTCAAGCACAGCACATAAATAATTTGCCATTAAAAAATGAAAGGTCTTCCTGCCACAAAAGTAGTGGGAAATTGGCATAGGAAAGAGCCAGCTTGTACTCTGTGACAGTAGCATCTGTCACTTAGTCTAACTTCCTGAGAGTGTGGAATGTGATAAAGGGATTGGGCTCAGTCTCTACGCAGCACCTTGCGCATTTATTTAGGTGCAGTATCCCAATACTGTTATGTAAGGGAACAGATTCAGTTATATTCATCCACGTAGAAACGTTGGGTATTTGTTTCACAGAATACTCAGTGTTTGTGAAGTTACGGAATCCATTATATCTGATATAGTATGGCAGGTAAATTGATAGAAAATTAATTGGAAGACAGTTCCAAACACAATAACTCAGCAGAAACATCCAGAATCAATTAATCAAACTGCAACTCATTTTAATTGGACATACTCTAACCCAGAAAAGTCATTGGAATCTTTAATTAAGCTTTCAGGCCCAATCGTATTTACATTAGTCATGTTTTCCTGAACAGTTACATCTTAAAATAAAAGGTTATTAACTTGAAGCCTAATGGTAAAGTAAAAATCCTCAATACATGTGTGCTGCAAATGTTTATATCTAATTAGACATTACATTTTTTTGGTAATTTAAAAAAGTAGTTTAGAACTGTTTGATTAGGCAACCATTAACTCTTTAAAAGTGTGGAATTAAGAAGCCCTGTTTACAAAACTGTTGATTTCCGTCTCGCTATTACGGATGCTCCTTAGGCATGTGTTTCACATGTCTACATGTGTATTTTCACCTGTTAATATCCCCATCCTCTGACCTTCCTCTCCACGGGGTATCTATTTCTGCCACTGACACCATGTTGTGCTCACGTCTCTCTGTCTAAATCCATTACTAGACTGTGAGATCTCTGAGACCACGATTAGTTGCATATAACTCTGTACCTCCAATGTCAGACAGTGTCCAGCAAAGAGCTGCTAAATAAAGCTTGCAGAACTGAAATGCCATTCAAACCAAAAGTGATCTGAGGAGAAGAAAATGGAAGTTTTCTTCTTTGACCATATTCTTATATGGAGAGGAAAGGGGCGGCCTTGTAGCGAAAGGCCAACTGTAGGTTTTAGTCTTAACTCTGCCTCTGACTAAACGTTTTTATTCTAAAATTTCTCAGCTCTGCCCATGGGCTAGTCCCTGGACTTTTCTATGCCTCTAGTTTCTCATCACCTGAAACAAAACAGCAGAAAACAAACAAGAATGAATGAATTGGAACCAATGAAAATGGATTATTCAGTTGTTGGACTCTGGGTTATTTAGTTATTATTATGTCACTGGTAGAATGAGACAAACCCCTAAATCAGAGAGACTGTAGATGTTTCAGAGTGACAAATGCATAACAGGCCATGATTTAATGTTACTGTGTACTATAAACTCTACACTGTGATTTAGAATACTGTAACACGAAGTCCATGAAATACACCAGGAATACACCTCTAATCCAGATTTCGCTGTATCTGGCCCTCCTCCAAAGAGTGCCTGGGCCAAAGCTAAAACCAAGGCTGCAGGCTGCCTTCCTTTCCCAGGAAAGAAAACTCCAGCAAGAATGCCGAAAGAATCTCTGTCACAGACTTGACTGAGCCCTAGACTTTCTTACTGAGTTGAGTTAGCAGCAGCTTTGATGTGGAAGGAAAAGAAAAGATGTCCTCAAGGTAAGGGGAGAAGAGAGACTTCAAGGATGGCAGGAGATTGAGTAAATGTAGGACGGATGAAACAATTGTGTCAGCAATTCTGAAACTCTGGGATAAAAGCAAGTCCTTCTCTTCCTTGCCCACATAAACTGGAATTGTAAGATGTCTGGCTCCGTACCGTACTTCATCTGGATTTATAAATAGAAAATATGACCCACACCCTTAAGACTTTCATATTCTTCATTGAAAAGACACAAATTATGTCAACTGAAGCCATTTGAATACAGATATTTAAATACAGTCATTTGAAATATAAGACTAAATAGCATTAGTACCATGAGTTCAGAATTCTCAGAAATTCTTTTATTGTCCTTTTCCTGGTGTTTCATTATCCAAAAACATAGAATTAATTGATTCAGAAATATTTATTGAGTTTTATCGACAATCTCAGTCCCAGGGACCCAAACATCCCTGTGAGGAAAGGCTGTACCTCTCTTCAACTTTTGAAGCACTAAGCTCCCATCTACTACTCCTAAGGTACAGTTGGTTTAGTGAATGAGTGTGTTAATTATTTACTAACAGTAAATTCATTGAGAAGTAATAATTATTATCAATATTAATTGATAATTAGTTATAATTATACATAATTATAATTATAGATAATTATACTAGTTGCACAGCTATTATGTGTCAGGCACTGTTCTTTGTTCTGGGGATATAGTGTGATTGAAATAGCCCTTATTGAATGTGTATTCTGATGGAGATACACTGATAATATACAAGGAACACTGTACAAAAGTAAAGCTTGCTAGATGATGACAAAGACGTACTTATTTAGGGTCTTTCTGGCCAAATTTCGGTTCTGAAATACCAAAAAATAAACAAAAAACAAAAATCAAAAAACCTGTTGAATCTCTGAGAATAGGAGACCTTAGGTAAATGAGGCTAGATTAGGAACTAGCTAAATGAAGTTGGGGGTGGGCGTGTAGGGAGAGTTAACACATTCTGGAAGAGAGAACAGGTACAGAGCAGGTGTAGGATCCTGGAGGTGAGGCAGCATCGTCTGTTCAAAGATGAAGCTCCTTTTGAGAGGCCCCAAGACCACCTAACTGTCTCTGGGTAAGCCACCCAGATTATTTAGATTAGGACACTATCTTCCTCCTTCAAATTCTGAGCGTTAATGTATGGTATTCCTGGGCACCAGTGTATGCGCAAGTGCACCCAGAGCTTACATTCCCAGTAAGATAGTGCTTTAAGTGACTGTCTGCGTCAGGTTCACCTGTGTGCTTGTTGACCGTTTAGATTCACAGCCTTTTTTTCTGGTCCACACAATCAGTATTTCTTGGGACAAGCCCCTGACCCTGTATTTTAAGAAGCCTTTCCATGTAGTACTCATATTCCTTAACGTTTGAGAACCTCTGCCTTAGAATAGCAGGGTCTGATTCTACCCAAACACTGTAAACCTCTTCAAGGGTGACTTGGTAAATACATGTTGTTATATATTATTCAATAAATGTTACACCACTGTGTGTCCTCATTAACCCCCTTTCCTGATTTCGTTGAGAATCTCTAACAATGAACATTGGTCCAACACTTAGAAAAAATTCACTGGGAAATATGCCTGACAGAAGCAAATACTCTGGTGCTCAAACTGATGCTGTGTGTTTTTGATGAAAAGACAACAACCAAAAGATCACATCAACGCACAGTCAAGTTAGAAAAGCTCAAGGATTCCTTCATAGTTCTCACTAAATTAAAACTGTCCCGGCATCAGGATCAGGTTTCAATGTGAAGGACGAACCACACTTACCCACAAATATATGCTTATTTAAAATTGCAAGAAAAAGGTTAGTTTCTACATAAGAATATCAATGCATATCACTGTTATTTTGAATGAAAGAGCCTTTAAGTTCTTTAAAATAAAGAGACTGATTAAAAAAAGTCTCCAATTTAAAGTTTAATAGAACTCTTTTAGAAAACAAATCTATAACAAATTCAACCTTCGGGGAAAAAACGTGAAGCAATGTTTTATCTTTTTGAATTCTTCTACTATTTTGTCACAAATCGTGCTTCTAAAAGTATATTGGCTCTTCAGACTCCAGTGGTTCTCTGTTAAGGCCATGATTTTGGCCGCCCTCCGTGAGGCCTCAGTTTTGTGTGGTCTTAAAATCCTGAACAAAACACCTAGGAACGTGTTTGCATTTGCAGTATTTCCCTTTTAGGTGGAACGGCCACCCGACAGAGGGGCTTTCTGGGATGCATTCGGTCTCTGCAGTTGAACGGAATGGCCCTGGACCTGGAAGAAAGAGCCAAGGTGACTCCGGGAGTGGAGCCGGGCTGCAGAGGGCACTGCAGCAGCTACGGGAAGTTGTGCCACAACGGCGGGAAGTGCAGGGAAAAGCCCAGCGGCTTCTCCTGTGACTGCACCTCCTCTGCATACGCAGGGCCGTTCTGCTCAGACGGTGAGTGTGACGTGGGTGCCCCAGCAGCAAGACAATCCAACGTGAATAAAACCTCCCACAGTTCTTTTTCTCTGTAGCTATTTGAAACAAAAGTATTTCCATTTCTGAATTTTTTTTGGCAAATGGCCTATTTTATGCCAATGACATTTCATTACTTAAATATTTGCCGGGGTTCTTTGAACACCGTGTTTATCGATGGTAAACCCTGTAATAGCCGCCTCTAGGTGTTGTAGAGTGTTGGCTGCGCAGTCTGATCTTTTCTATCTACAGCTAATGCTCTTAAGTAATATGGGTGTCAACAACCAGTCCCATGGGCAGTTCTCATTTTTCAAATCATTAAAAGCATTATTGTTATTTTTGAAGATGGTCAGCAATGCAAAGACATTTCGGAAGCTTTGTTGTTTTACCAAACAAATATTATTTCCAGGAATATAAATAACGTTTCCATTCAGTATTGGTATGTAACAAAATAGAGATACTTGGTCGTTTTGCTCTGTGAAATGCCGACTGTCTGTTGGTGAAGTGAAACAGTGGACTGTTTTTCAGCTGGTCTTGTTCACTGCTCCGTGTCATGGAAGAAGGAACGAACTGAGTGTAGTACTCAGCGTTCTGAACAGACTTCCATGAATAGACAAACTTTTGCTATAATTCCTCATAGAAAAATGTCAACCAGTTTAATCCAGTTGCTTTATTTAAGTGTTTCTGGGCTACTGAACCTTTACCTGAAGGAGGCTAACGAAAACTGGCTGCAAATTGAATCAGTCCCTGATTTGCAATGAAAGCCTTTGAGATTATTTAATGGAAAGTTGGCCAAAGTGCACTCTTCAGGTCATCTACTTTTTATCAGGAGTAAGTTATCGTTTGAAATCAACCTGTGGTAATCAATCACTGCTGCTACCATTCTATGCTTCTCATGTTTAAAGTTAGAACTAAGACCTGTGTCTTTACATCCTCATGTCTTTATAAGAGGATGCCTTTATTTTCTGGATCTAAATGATTTCCAGTTCATCTTGCTAAGTGTAATCAGGAATATTATTCTGCATCCACATGTTATGGAGTATCTCAAACGTGTATCTATAGATAGTAAAAATAATAAACAGGCAAAAAACCTAAAGCCCTGAGGGAGTGGAGATGTTGCTGCATTTATCCGTGAGCATCATCTGAAGCTCACGTTCAACACCTGCCCTGTATAGCAACGGAGGAAAGCAGAGTTCTGGGATCCCGAGCTAGTTTCCTCTCCCACCACCTTCTTCACTTTTATACAAATCTGTTTGGGGTGTGTGTGTGTGTGTGTGTGTGTGTGTGTGTGTGTGTGTGTGTGTGTGTTTATGTGCAAATTTAGGATATTAATCTTGTGTAAGTAAAATGATTTTTAAAAGTTTGGATAGTTATTTTTTAAATTTGGAAAGTATCAGTATAACCGAGGCAACATCCTTGTTTCTTAAATTTTTTCACGTAAAATGTACTTATCATTTCAGAGATTTCTGCCTATTTTGGATCTGGCTCATCTGTGATTTACAATTTTCAAGAAAATTACTCCCTAAGTAAAAATTCCAGCTCCCAGGCGGCTTCATTTCACGGTGACATGAGGCTAAGCAGGGAAACGATCGAGTTTAGCTTCCGCACCACACGGACCCCGAGCTTGCTGCTCTACGTCAACTCCTTTTATAAAGAATACCTTTCAGTTATCATTGCCAAAAATGGTGAGTGCTGTTCAGACGAGGGAAAACTGGGTGAGAACATTAGGTCAGGAACAATGTGGATCCTTCTCATGGTCCCGCTGCTCAAACTACAAACAGGAAAAGAAGTGTGCCTGTCCTGTGTATTCAGTTTTGTGTTTTCAGTACTGTCCTATCAGCTTAATCTAAAAGGACTATTTAAAACACTTAAAATGCCTGTATCGCTTTATAATTTTGGTAATTTAACACAATCAGTGTGAATTTTTAATTTATGTACATAAAATATTTGTTATATTTTATCATTGCTAGGATCACTTTACTCTTCCATGTAACAGTATCAGTTTTGTGGTTCATTTTGAAATAAGATGCCTATTTGTACATAACAAGTAATTTCCTTTGAATCAAAGTAGAGAAGTTTTGAGAGAATGTTAACAAACTAGCATTATGTGTAAGAAAACGTCCACAAAATAATCTGTTGGTTCTGATTTTCAGCCATAAAGTAGTCACGGGAAATGCTAGTACATCGATACAGGGTAATGGTATGTGGCTTAGGACGTGTGTGCAACAGAAAACCACTTACTGTTATTGTTCTCTTCCCTTTATGTGGATTAGAGATAAAAATTTTATGAGTAAATCCTCTGGGTGAGGAAAACAAACGAACATACAAACATGTGAATATATCATTTCAACTAAATCAAATATGGCCCAAGGTCACTGAACACCAAAATAAAAATAATATTGTTCAATAAGTGTATGTCTCCTCACTGTATACATTTTGAGCTTATCTATATATATTAGGACATTTTCTCTGTTAAACTGGAAGATATCCTGTGAAGTAAATTTATTGACATCTTTGCAGGCAATTAAGTGAGTAGTGTTTGTTTATAATAATTCCATTCATCAGTTGCATTTCAGGAATGGTAGATGTATTTTTTTTGAAAGATGAGATGATAGAAGCAACGTTCTTGCAATATTCCACAGTAGTTCGGCACTTCATAATATACTAAATCTTATTTTTTTTAAGTTAGAGGCTAGTACGGAGATTTGCAAATGCTTAATCACATATTTGACAAATTAAAATTTTGCAGGAAAGAGCCTGCTTATTCGCAGCATATTTGCTCTTGATTTTGAAAATAGTGCAATTTCACATGGAAACTGACTTCTAGGGATTATGAGGAAAGTGTACATGCAAATGAACTACTGTGAACTTTCCCCCAGAAATTAATATCAAAAAAGGACTCTTGAGTTTTTGTAAGTAGTTTTTAAAATACAATTTTAACTAAAATGTAACTTTTCCCCCCTACTTTAGGAAGTTTGCAGATCAGGTACAAGCTAAACAGACATCAAGAACCCGATGTGGTTAACTTTGATTTCAAAAACATGGCTGATGGACAGCTTCACCACGTAAAGATTAACAGGGAAGAAGCAGTGGTCTTTGTGGAGGTAATAGAGAAAATGCAACAGAAGCAATGGTTAAAATTATGCTCCCCAGCAAGAAGGACCTACAGCAGAAATTGGATAATGGATAGATCAAACAAAGACATCCTTTCAGTTGCTGCTCTTGGATAGATCATAGACCATCAGATGTGTTCAGTTTTTTTAAGCAATAAGATTCTGTGCAAAATATTATTAATATTTGATACTTAAAATTGCCAAACTTTCCTATTTGTTTTGCTTTACTCAGGCGGGAAATACTTTCTAGTTTACCATATTATGCTATTGGTAAGACCATTGCTACTCTAATGAAACCAGTTTACTTCAGATGGGTATACATGCAACCATAATTCTAGCACAGAAATTAATGATTGCAATATCAGAATAAATTTTAAAATGATGTGAATTACAGCAGAGAAAGTTGAATTATTCACTCTACCAGCTTTTGAAGAAAAGCACTAATATTTCAACCCTCTAGGTAGAGGAAAATTTCTTAGCTGAATGACTCAAGTGAAAATACCCAGCTAAGTAAAAATATCAAGATGAGAATAGCTTGTATCTTTTTGTTGGTTTTCCCCATTTTGGCTTTCTTACACAGTGGAGAAAAATAAAGTGATAGGGATAGAAGGTGGGGTGCACTGGTATCTGAGGGTGCACAGAAATAGTTTAGAAAATAATATTCACCTGTATAAATGGCTAACTCTTTAAACTTTGTTTTCCTCAATCTTTGGGGCCATATTAACTATTGCCTATTTTATCATTTTCTTTTGTCTTCCTTTGCCTCCTGTCCTCTTCTCAACAACGGCATCCGTTTGGATGTTTGCACCTCATGTAACAATTTTATAGATTGATGAGAAAGCGAGGAGACAAGTCCACCTTGCATCAGGTACAGAACTCAGTGCAGTCAGATCCCTTGTACTGGGCAGGATTCTAGGTAAGTAAAAGGAATGGCCTTTCGCCTAATCATGATGCATAAACATGGACCAGAAGAGTCATATGTCAGACACATAGACACAGACACAGACACACACACACACACACACACACACACACACACACACACACACACGCCACATGCAAATTCATCAGGCCAAAAGAAATCTCTTGCATAATTTCATTTCTGAAGTGAATGATAATCAAGGCAGAAGCTGTACTTTCTCAGGGGTATATGTAATCGTGAGTAGGGACATTTTGCAAGATGAGCAAGCATGCTACTTTGATAGTAATGCCACTCTGGCGTGTGCCATGCGTCAGTCCAGCATAATGAAACACGGTATTGCCCTCACACTTCAAGAATATCAAATAAAAGTAGAAATAACAGACTGTGTATCAGTCAGCTGTCAGATATATAAATCATCATCTAATGATAAAACTAGGATTAGATCTAAAAGAAAATGGAGGAGGAAGCAATTGCTTTTCTGCTGCTTAGTGAATATGCTTTAGGTTGTGGCCTGGATCCTGTTTGCCTTGTTGAGGTGCAGTGGCCAGCCACTCCTGCTAGAACCCAATGACTTATAACCCAGTGTCTATCTAAATGCCTTATAATTCTTATTTCTATCCACTAGTTACTTCTGATAATAGCACTGAAGTAGAAACATACTCTTGCCATTTTAACATCAAAATATGTGCGCTTTTTTTTATACTTGCCAGCAAGGACTAAACGGAAAGAGGGGCAGTACATTTTAAAAGGGATTTTCTTTTTAGTTATAAAAGTGGGGGTGGGAGACTTTCTGTAGTCTGGTTTTCCTTCCTAGTTTGATATTTGACCCTAACCTCGAATATTTTGTCCAAGATAATGAATGGAATCTTTTATTTTTTTGACCTTTTCAGTTACTTATACCTTGATATACCATTTCTTGCATTCCCTGTACATAATCTCCGAATCTTGAGAATGCTTGATCAGACCTGTGGGTGAATGATCAAAATATCGGCCCTTGAGAAGGTTAATAGTTAAGTTGGTAAATATTTATAGGCTTTCTAGTACTATGATAAGCACCAGTATTGTACGCTCTTATTCTCCAAGCAAGCAGGGGAAGTATCCATTGCATTGTTTCTCCAGGATGCTATAGCGGAGACAAAAAATATGTGCAAAGTACTACTTAGATACTTGGAAGCTTAATTGGAATATCCCAAGTGAGTTTCATAGTATAAGTTACATAAATTCAACTACAGTAATTAAACAATCAGATCATTATAACCAATCCCGATTTCAAGAGCTCCTCAGTCTAGCAAGGTCTGAGATGAGGCATTTTGCATAAAAATGTAAAATGCAAGATAGAAAACTCTAACAATTATGCATAATGTTGATAAAATCATATTTTTGAAGAAATAACATCTTCAAGTTTAATGCCAGAGTTGCTGATGAAAATATTTTGTGTGAATAGAAATAAGCCAAATATATTATAAAAGAATTGGGAAACTGATCTGCATTTTATAAGGAGGATTGTATTCATCAAACAGTAGAACAATAGCATTCATTATATAAATATTTGTCTCCCTTTTTATAATGAATATCACAGATTAATGAGGAATTAAAGATGTTAAGGTTTTCATTCAAGAACAGAGTGTTATTAAAATGCATATCACTCATGCTGAAAATTAAGATTCAAGTTCAAAAGTAAGAATTTGTTTGGTACGTGCCTAAGGTGTGGATCTTGGCCAAGGACTCATATTACATTCAAATCATTTGCAACTCAAAGGAGACTAGAAATTTATGATCACATGGTATGGTTTATGAATTTACAACAAAATGTTATGTACTATATTATTATATTGTAATATGGTATATTAACTTATAGCAAAATTGATGCTAAGATGGAACTAGTAGTTTTCCAGAGAGTTACTCAATCTCGAAGTTGCTTATTATGTTAGTCAGGGTCCTCCAAGAAGCCACTACCAAGACAAAATTAACCACGTGAGGATTTCATTAAGGGGACACTTGCGAAAGAGAACGTGTGGAGAGAGCTCGCCAAGACTGGGAGAGCCGTCAGATGCCATGCAGCTCTGCCTTCAGGTGAAGGAGAGAGGGAGGGAAAGTTAGACAGAAGCATCCTAGACTTCTGTGCAGTCAACAAAGGTTAAACAGTCTTTGGGGAGCCCATGAGTCTGTCATCCATCAGAGGAGTCCCATGTTTCCAAAGGGTGGGTCTGCCTTAGAGTCCCAGCTATGATCAGCTGTTGGCTGGGAACAGCCCATGGGAAGCAAGGCACCGGCCCAAGTATGAGGATGGATTTCAGAGCCCAGCAGCTGGGGCCCTTGGTCAATTCCTCTCACCTAGTTGGAGGTCTGCAAGGCACATTCTCATGTGCTCACGCTTGTCACCTGTGTTTTCATTTTTGTAATTCTGTTTGGATCCCCTGTTCATACATACTTTGTGATCACCTGTCGTGTACACAGAGAACGGCACTCAGCAAGGCAGACACTGCATCTGCCTCACAGAATTTATGGGTAGTGGGCATACAGATAATCATTATACAAAATGTTCCTGTGTATCTAATTGGGTACAATGTACCCTATGCTGCTTGGGATAAAATAGTTCCAAATTATCCTCCAAATTAAAATAAATTAAAATATGGTGGGACTTCCCCGGCAGTCCAGTGGTTAGGACTCAGCACTTTCACTGCCGGGCCCCGGGTTCAATCCCTGGTCAGGGAACTAAGATCCCGCAAGCCAGGCAGCACAGCCAAAAAAATAAAAAATAAAATAAAATAAAATAAATACTTGTTTCGTTTTATAATTTCTGAATATTTCTTTTAAGGGAGCAGAAAAAACCATTGACCAGTTTTTTGGGAGGGGTTATAATTTGCCTATTTTCAACCAAAGACTTAAGGATATGACCATCCACTGCCATTTTAGATGGAAACCCAGAAATGAAGGAAATTCTTCCCCTCTTTCACTTTTCTCCAGTACTCATTTCTTAAACTTAGGAAGAATCATGGGAATAATTTTGGATTACTATCACTATTAATCAACATTACTAGCAGATGTTGAAAAGGAGGGTAAATTTTAGAAATAATATCAAGCTCTACTATGATGACATGGAAACCATCTCTAACTCCCTACTACACTTAAAATATTTAAAGACTCAATAACTTTGGCATTAGTAGTCATCAGTAGTTGGGAGCCAGGGTGAGATGATCCAGCTGTTTGCCAAGCAGCTCAATTTAGATACTCCTGTATTCAATAAAGTACATCAAATTTGCTTTTCATAGTTAAAGTTCACTATAAAATTAAACTCTGGGTTCTATATCTGGATACTTTTATGTGTTAGAATCATATGTTTTATGATTTATTTGAGTAGAAGCTGGATGATTATTTTCACTCATCCTGAGTAGTAGCTTTTGTATGTTAGAGGTGATTGATGACCGTTGAGGATCATTTCTCTCTTCTGAGGCCATAGAGCCAGGGAGTACACTCAGATTACCGCAGTGGAGGTTTAGCCCAGATGTAAATAAAGTCTGTAGTCAGCTAGGAAAGGACATCTACTCAGTCTCCGATGAAGAGCTTTGAGAACAATCTCAATGTGTCAGGAACCGTTCATGTAAAACTCACTTAAGAGCCCAGACGTGAGGAAAAAACATGAGCCAGGTAACCTAAGGGCACTGCAATTTTGTAAATATATTGTGAAATGTCCCTTAAGATAATGGAGGCGTTATTTTAAAAGCACGTTTTAAAAGAGAAGTATAGTTTAGAGCAAGAAAAGCAAGGAATCTACTGAAAGTCATTTTTTTGTATTCATCAGCTTGAATTTTGAAAATTTTAATAATTAAAATGTCATAGACCATCTTCAGTACTTAGCATGACTTCATCCTTGTGGCGGCTTTAATCGTTTCCAGACAGTCAGCTACATCATTTTGAATTGACCATACCTAGAAACTTAAAAACAGCTTTTCTCCTCATCGTGACACCCCAGCATCGATCTGAAGTGTCATGTTCCAAAAGCACAGAGCACTCGTGACGCTGAAACGTATTATTTGATATTAACTATGGAGCAAATGATAAGGTAGACAGTGGGATACTGTCAGAGGCACATCCCACGCTCCAGGTGGGATGGGCAAGTGTACGCCTTTGACAAGGACGTCACCTGCATCACTTTCACTTGGCCATCAAACATCGTAAAACAGAGCTCAACTTACACTGCAAAAAATACTAAACGATAAAAGCCGAAGTCACAAATCCCAAATTATATATTTATCAGCTGCCACAATCTAGAAGCCTTCATACAATGATAAAACTCAAATATTTCTAAACTAAAAAGGAGAAAGCAATTGTTGCTTTCTTTAATTACTGACATGCTTTAAAATGTACCTGTACCAGGAATAAGTAAAAAATAAAGCCATGATCAGACACTTACACTATTGTGTGTGTGAATTTATTAAAGACCAGGCATTGATGGATGAGAGAGAGAGGATGGAATTGACAGGAGGTACGGATACAGGACCTTTGGGGTGGAGAGAGGGCACAGCCACAGCGAAGAGATACTGGACCGGCCAGCCTAATGATGGTCTATAGCACTAGTCAGAAGAAAGACAGTGAAATGTGAATTCTGCTTGTGTTGTCTGTTAAGTATAAAAGAGGGTTGGAGATGGTTTCCATGTCATCAGAGTAAGATACTGGTACCTATAAATTATCCTCCTTGCTTGATAGCTGCCAGTAATGCTTGTTAATGATGATTAGAGCCAAAAAGTGTTCCTACATTCCATTCTCATTTGTAGAAGTGAGTACTGGAGGACAGAGAGGAAGCAATTCCTCTCTTTCTATTCTTCCTTCTGAAGAGGCAGGCAGTCTGATGTCGTTTCTTTGTTAAGCATGTTCAAAATGCGTTAAGTACTGAGGCCAAAGTGAATGATTCCTCAATCGGCTCCTTTAAGAGACCTGTTTACTCAAAGATTATATAAAGAGACATCTCTCTACGATGTAATTATGTAATTAATCAAAGGAAATATGCAGGTATAAAGTTGTTTTGCTAATTCATTAAGCCTTTATTGGGTCACAATTCCACCACATGAAAAAAAAACCTCAATTAAGATCATTGCATACTCTTGAAATTGCATAAAACCTCTCATAGCAAATGTGCCCACATTTTGAATAATGATATAATTTAACCTATTACAAAATGACTGAAAATTACTATTCAGAGGCTGAGTGAAGTTCGACTACGACTATTTATTACTTTTTTATGTCAGGTATGTAATGGTGCAAGACCACTGACAGCAAAAATCGGTGGGTACATCATGGTGGGAAGAGCCAGGTTGCATCAAATAAACTGGGTTCATATTCCTCCATAATTAATAGGCTGCGTTACATTTGCTTTGTTTATCCAAAACTCATTAAATTAAGTTCTGAGTTGTGTTTACAGATTGTTTTTTATGTTAGAAGAGTTTTCTAAAAGCCTGAAGATGTTTTCACTCATTGTGAGAGTAGCTTTGGTATATTTAAAGGCAGTGACCACATAGGGATCATTTATCTCTTCTGAGGCTGCAGAGCCAGGAAGTAACTCAGATTTTTGCAGTGGAGATCTAGGCCAGATGTAAATAAAGTATGTGGTCAGAAGGAAGAGGATGTCTACGGCATCTCACAGAAGAGCTTCAGGAACGGACTTCAATCTCAGGGACATTTTATATAAAAGCTGCTTCAAAGCCAAAGGGTACACAAGAAAGTTTAATTCAGTTACTTAAGGACACTGTGATTTTGTAAATGTCCAGTCAGATGACACTTCAGGTGACACAGGTCATGCTGAAAGCAAAAGAGAAGCTCAGGTTACCCCGAGATGCCTCACTATAAATAGTTTGTACATTAATCAGGTTCTCAAGGTTGTATCTCAGAGCAGTAGGCTTGGTTGGCAAATAAATACCGTTTACAAAAAAAACTGCTCCTTTATCCACACAGTATTTGCTGTCTGCTTTGCCATTTGACTTTTCCACCAACTGTTGTTGTTGTTGAATCCTTGTTGTAATTGCCTGTGATGGTAAAAATGTCCTGCTGGTCATTAGCACGGCTCCTTTGATTCATTGCACCATTTTCTGGCAAGCTTTATTTATCTTTATGGATTAAAGGCATTGAGATCCTTTTTTAAGGTGACCCCTTTTCCATAGGTGTGGCCAAACTACTTAGGTTTCTTTTGAGTTATTTGTTTTGTTTTGTTTTTCTTTGTTGTTGTTGTTTTGACAGCCACAAGAAGTTTCATGAAGCACTTCTTGTTTTAATTGTTCTTCATTTACTTCATATCCTTTCCAGAAACAGTCCTCTCTCTGCATAATAAACAGAAAGGCGCTTCATACGAATTTTACTTTCTTGTTACTCTATTTTCTTGTAGAACTTTTGGTAGATTTCTTTGCAAAAGCAGAAGCCATTCCCTTGGTTGGAAGATACAGTTGAGGCTAACTTTTTAACAGGCAAGACCACCTGCAAAATCTGAGTCAGTTAAGAATTTTTCTAACCGGAAACATCCCAAACATAATTGTCTTATCAGGATTTCAATGAAGTAAGAGGCATTTATCTACAATTCCCCCACCCGTGCTGTTCTAACCCTTACATGTTGTTGGCATTTCAGGAGTCAGATAATAGGAAAGATAAATGTTTTGTCCACTGGCTCTATGAACACAGTTGTCAGTGCAGCTCTCTGATACTATGTACTGCTTATAAGCAACTTAATATAGCTGTTAACTTCATCTGGACTCAACTCTGGGAAGATGGATGCAAAGTCCCATAGTTCCCTTTCTCTCCAGATTCTAGTTCCGACCCATTGACTTTCCTGAAACAAGGGAGTTGACGGTCTAGCGCAGCCAGGTGGGGTGCCTGGGGGCTGCCAGTGAGACAGTGTTGTGAGACTCCCTGCTTCTGGTTGGAAGAGAGTCTGGGGACCAGCCTAGAAGAGTCTTAAGGGAGACCCTGAATTGTGTGGCTCCTGGAAAATGCTTGGCTTGCAGAGACCCCTGGACCCCGTGGGGAAGGGGCAGCATTGAAAACTCAGTGCTTCTGTGTTCCCTCTTTGCCGAGGAGAGAATGACCTGAAATGTGAGGATGTCCTGAATCCTGAAATTCGGACCATGTCCTCTCTGTCCCGAGGTTGGGTGGGCATTTGGATGGCAGCTTCACGGACAAGGACAGCTGCTACGCTGTCTACCTTCTCTGGGCGTCAGCCACCTAAGGAAGGCAGTGACAGAGAATCAACGAGCAGATGAGAAAAGCAACCCTATATACAACCCTTGATTCAACAGCAGTCAAGTGGGAGAGAAATCAAAACAACCAGAATGAAGCTATTCAAGGAGACAGACCCCATCCTGAATGAAACTAAGTAAGAGCGCTGTAAGGAAATTCCAGCCAAGCAGCAAAAAGACCTAGAGGAACTACAAGTATGATTTTTCCAGACTAAAAAAGAATGATCTTTGTGGATACTTGAAATCATTCCCTGGAAGAGCAAGTGAGAAAAGCACGTGACCCACACAAAAACAAGTCCTCAAAGATAGAAATCAGCAGGGAGATTAAAAGCAGTTAAAGAATATGCAGAGGAGACCAAACGTGAATCTCGGCAGTCCAGAAGCGTAAAAAGGATGAAAGTGAAACAATAGCTGCTCGCACAGCATATGAAATTTTCCAAGCTAAAGAAAAACCTGTGTCTGCAGATTAAAATGGGCCACCAGGGTCTATGCGTAATAGATGAGAGGAGATAAACAGCAGGGACAATCTGATAAAAATTCCTAAATCACAGGGAACCTTACAAAGTTTAAGAACGAAGTGATAGAGCCAGAAGATGCTGGAGTAAGATATCTACAGACGATTAAGAGAATAGGGCTGTGCAGAGTCATCCTTAAAATAGACACACAAAGAATCACCTAATCCATCAAGATAAATTTCTGTTCCAGATACACTCCATCACATTTTCTAATTTATTTCTTCATAGCATTATCAGTCTTCAGAATTTTCATCCATTCCTGTTTCATGTTTAGCGTCTGTCTCCCCTACTAGAATGTAAGATGCTCAAACAGCAGGGAATGCGTTGCCTGTATGTTTAGCTCTTAAAACAAATATTAATTGACAGACTAGTTTAAGTTTTAGATTTTAAAGCTTTTTTCTACAATATTTTATAATAGGTAAATATTTTCAGTTTAAAGGTGTAGGGTTTTTAAAAGTTGCCTCATATCAGATTTTTACCAGAGAAGCGAATTTTATCTATTTACTTTTTTCGTTGTTGTTCAAAATGTAAGATTTTTTTTAAGGTCTATAGAAATTTTTTTCAGGATTTAAACCTTGTAGAAGAAATATGAAAAGCACTGTTCTGATTATATTGCTATTAAAGTATATTCCTTTTTATTCCTTGTTAAAGTAAAAAAATAAACCAAAAAACTCCGAAGCAAGAATGCTGTCTTTTTCTAAAAATATGTATATTTGAATGTATCTGCATCCATTCAAATGAGTGACTGCTGTGTGGGGACTAAGTTAGTTCTTTGGTTTATACACATCGATGAAGCGCCTCCTATGTAACCATGTGGTGCTGGGTGTTGAGGGTTCCCCGTGTGCTCACGGAGCAGCAGAGTGATAGCCTCTCAGGGCTCTTTGTGCTACGAGGCAGGACAGCCTACTGGTAAGGACATAGGCTCCAGAGCTAGGATACCTGGGTCTGAATACCGTATCCCCCAGCACAACAGGAAAGTGATGTAATCTGTCTAATTTTCAGATTTTTTAGAGTGTGATATTCATGATGCTAAACATCTAATCAGTATTTTTATTAAAAAGGTATAAAACATGCATGAAAATGGGACAGAAGGAAGTGTTCTTCAAAAACCTTGATATAACAAGACAGGCTTAATCAGAACAGAGTTGCCCAGAGTCATTTCAAGAATAGATACCAAGCCAAAAAAAAAAAAAAAAATACACTGCAGAAGATATAAGTGGAGTGAAGGAAAGAATGTGTCAATTATAAACAGAAGAAGCTTATGATTTTGGAGTCCAACAGGCCCGGAGTCCAGTGCACAATGCCAACAGCTGAGTTAACCTCAGGCAAATCACTGAAATTCTGAACCTAAAGGGTCTTGTCTGTGTGACTAGACTAGGATACTCATGGCTTCTGTAAGGTTTAAACACAAGCATGCAAATCCCTTAGAATACTGCCTACCGTATAATAAGCATTCAGTAAATTCAATATTTATTATATTAGTTTTTGAAAAGACCGAAATGCAAGTGTTGGTGTCCCGGTAGGTGCAGCACAGGGGAAAGTAGTCTTGCCGCTTTATGGTCATGTAGGATGGGTGGATGCATCGTAGTCTGATAACATTTGAACGTTAAAAGTCTACAATTAATTCCCCTTGTTTAGATTTCATGCTTGCCAAGCGTGAAATATCTTCTTCACTGTAAAATTATAAATTAATATCTTGACACTCAACCAATCTCTGTCCCACAATAATTCCATATTAACTAAATGCTCATTGAAATGGAGGGGGGTTATCTGTGTATAGGGGGCACACACATACCTCAGTCTGAGTGATAGGTGGACGGTGAAACAGGGAGAAAAGTCAGTGAGGTATGAAAGTTTTCACTGCTGTACGTGAAGAATTAAGAGTCTCTGAAAGCTTTTGAGATACAACCTCTAACATGATAACATCTTGCAGGAACGCTGATCAGTTCATTATCTGACCCATTCTTGTAGAGACTTTAATTATTTCCAGAGAGCTCTCAGTATATTTCATTAGCCATACTTAAAAACTTGTCTTTATTAGCCTGGGATGTCTCACCAGTAGTTGTGGAAAGATTTAATGGATCTCTTGTAATAAAGACAAAAGCAAAAGGAATTTAACAGCTGAGTATGTATTGCTGTTGCGTTGTCAAGACTTGGAATAGTCCATTGTGGCAACGCCCGTTTGCACCTTCACTGTCATCAATCCTGTGGTGTTTCTTTGGCTTCCCAGAACACAGTGACGTGGACCAGGAGACGGCGCTGGCAGGTGCACAGGGCTTCCTGGGCTGTCTCTCTGCTGTGCAGGTCAGCCACGTGGTGCCGCTGAAGGCCGCTCTGCACCGCAGCCGCCCAGCCCCCATCACCATCTCAGGACACGTGACGGAGTCCAGCTGTGTGGCCCAGGCTGGCACCGATGCCACATCAAGGGAGAGGACACACTCCTTTGCAGGTGGCCTATGGCGCTTCTTTTACCCAGTCCCAAACACAGCTTGTCCACTGGATATTAAAATCTTTTAATGCTGGGACTCTGTGTTCTCAAGATGGTTTCTTGAAATTGGTTTTGTTTAATTTTCAGTCCTTGCCCATTTCTCTCCTAGATTCTCAATTCGTTATTCCTGTGGACCATTGCATGTGGGCATTGCTTAAGGTTAAAATTGCAGACATCCCACACTGACCTCTCTAATTCTGTTCTGGTTTTAAAAGTTTATGAATTTTTAAACATTTCTTCTTTTTACTCACCGATATCCCCCTCTTCCCCCTTTTCTGTCCTTTAACTGCAGATCATTCTGGAACAAGAGATGACAGAGAACCCGTCACTAACACAATCAAGAGTGACTCTGCAGTAATTGGAGGTAGTAGAAAGCATGAGCGAGCTCTTCCTATCATTGCTAATGATGAGGTAGTTAGCACTAGAGAAGCTGTCTGTGGAGAATCTACACATGGCCCAAGAGTTAGGCAGTGAATCCTGAGGTCAGTGGGGTGCTTTATTATTTGTACTGGATTGTCTTATAGAGTCATCCTGAATTCCCAGCTTCCTTGGAGAGTTTCAGTGTAAATAATTGATAATTCACTGAAACATCACACTCAAAAGAATGGTTGTTACACTGTGATACTAATGAATATCATTTAGCTTGATAATGGCCATCTCCATTCCCTAGGGTGTTCTGACTGGATTTGAGGAAGTGTCATTTTTTGCCTTCTTGGACACATCACTGCTTCTGCAAGGGTTTATGTAAGAAGTAGGAAAAACCTGAGATTAACATTAGAAGCATATATTTAATGTTGCCTTAATGCTTAATCAAGGTGTATATTTCCATGGTTTAGATGCTCCTCTCAGTGAATATTACATTTTTATTTGCATTTTATCAAATACAAAACTAATGGAAGAAGGGTGGTTCATACTTACTTTATTATTATTTTTTAATATATTTATTATATTTATTTATTTTTGGCTGTGTTGGGTCTTCGTTGCTGCGCGCGGGCTTTCTCTAGTTGCGGCGAGCGGGGGCTACTCTTTGTTGCGGTGCATGGACTTCTCATTGCGGTGGCTTCTCTTGTTGCAGAGCACGGGCTCTAGGCACACAAGCTTCAGTAGTTGTGGCACGAGGTCTCAGTAGATGTGGCTCACGGGCTCTAGAGCACAGGCTCAGCAGTTGTGGCGCACGGGCTTAGTTGCTCCACGGCATGTGGGATCTTCCCGGACCAGGGATCAAACCCATGTCCCCTGCATTAGCAGGAGGATTTTTAACCACTGCACCACCAGGGAAGTCCCAATACTTATTTTAAATTGCAAAATTAACACAAAAAGTTTTAAATTTATCTTCCTGGCAATAAAACAGCATATTCTCTGAGACATAATTTACTCAAAACCAACCCCCTACATAAACCTTTTCCTTCCTGATTAATGGTCTTAAGAATGTTATTAATCAGATTATTGAAATGTTAAGTGGCTCACCTTTCCTCCATACTCTGCATATGATATGGACATAAAAAGTAAACAGTTATTTTATTATCAATATATTGCCAGGTAACGTGATTAGTCGTATACTTGAGCAACTTCCGTGGGCTTTATACCTGATTCATTTGGTTCTATTTTTTACACCCTTACTCATGTAGACACTGACTTCCTTTAAGAACTTAGAATTTTATTTAGACAGAGAATAGTACTGGTCAACTCTTTGTGAGAATATTAACATCCCCATTGCTTTTTCAGTTGCTTTACTTTTTATCAAATTAATGAGGTATAAATTAAAGATGCATAAAATAGGTTCCTCATTTAGTCATATAACAAGCGAAAAACAAAAACTAAAACCCTGTTAGAAGAGTAGTTAATAACTGCATGTCTACAATAAATATATCAATATAGTATTAATACAATCTATGGTAAAAACTCATTTGAAGTTATAGCATTTAAAATGTGCTCAACATTGCAACTTGTTGGGATTCCTAGTCAAACAAATTGTCTCAGTCTCATAACGGTGCTTTTTCTGTGCATTTAACTAGTATAGATACATAGTCAGGATATAGGGAGATAAGTATACAGATTTAGATATAAATAGTCATTGTATAGTCAAGCTAATGTTACAGCAAGTATTTAACCTTTAGAATATTGTTTGTAAGTCATTGTATGTTGGGATGGAACACACAATGGAAACAACTAATAGGTGACCTGTGAAATTCTCACTTGACTCGAGTGCACAGAGCAGAGCAAGAATTATGGAAGATTTGCTGCTCGGGGTCTCGCCAGGGTCCACAGATCCAGGAGTGTCTGCTTTTGATCATTGCAGACTGAGCTTCGGGAGCAGAGCAGCTGGTCGTGGCCATCTAAGCCCGGAAGGCCTCTCCTGGGGTCACGCGCAGTTTCTCAGCTAAATCACAGAATACTGTTCTGTAGCATGTTGCTCCGTCTGCTAGCGTTGTGGTAGAGTTCTTCACTTGTTGTTGCGTTACTCATAAATTGCACCCACTGTGTAACAATAATTAATCCATTTAAGTAGTTTCCAACTGGCTAATTCCCCCGTGTTTTACATTTTAGGTAATCTTTTTCTTCAGTTACAAACAGTAAATAAATAAACAGTGTGAGATGGGAAAATTGATTTAATAAGATATTTAGGGTTTCTGGTCAGAATACACAGATATGAATGCTCAGATTTAGACAGAAAGCTACATAATTTCCTCATAAAAACACATTCACCAGTTGGCAGTGTCACAGAGTGCTGTAGATAGATGGCCATATGTCATTTAGAGTATCCTTTTTCTTTTTTTCTTTTTTTTTTTTGTATAACAGGTTAGATCAAGGTTTTCCGTGGACATGAGAAACCCTGACATAACACTGTCTCCAGTTAAAAGGGAAATCACGTGCATGGAGCAAACCATTTCCAGAGTCCAGCCGTGATTTTGACTGTCTGGGCGTCCTGCCTGGGCCTGCAGTAGCCTGCCCTCTGTATCTACTTCATCAGCTTTCCACACTGAAATTGTTCAGAATCTCTTTCTTTAAACTAGAGGCCTATAACCAGACAATAGAAGTATTTATAGCAACTCAACTGATTACTTTTCTAAGATGAAAGGCAAAATGTATAACATCAAATGGATCCTCTGATTTAAATTATTCTTTATTAATATGACCAACTATGAAAAATCGTATCCATTAGTAAATTCTTCAGATTTCAAGTATGGTACAGAATTTAGTTACCAGGTTTATGTTGGATCTGTCAACAAGGAATTTCTGTCCCTTTCAGGTGAGGCTGACCTCGCCAAAAATCGGCTTAGCCCCTGGCAATATTTTGATTGGCTGTAGTGAATCTGCCCATCAGATCATGTGCTGTGAAATCCACTGTGACTGATGAGGACTTTCAAAGTTTTGGCTTCAGTTGGATTTGTTAGAGTTGTTTATACCTAATTTAAACTAGGAGGAAGAGTCCTTGTTTTATGATATGAGACTCCATCCACATCACATGTTTTCATTGTACCTATTTTCGTCTGAAAACACTATATTAGTACCTCCACTGATTTCATCAGAAGAGTCTAAGTACAAGGGAACTCTCAAACTCATGGTGACAGACAACAGTTTTCCAAATTCTATTTTTCATTTGAAAACTTGGCTTTATCATTGGCATCCTACATTGTCAGTTGTTTTTCTTTTCTTTCTTTTCTTTTTAATAAATTTTAAAATTTTTATTTATTTATTTTTGGCTGCATCGGGTCTTCGTTGCTGTGCGTGGGCTCGCGAGCGGGGGCCAGTCCCCACTGCAGTGCGGGGACCCCCTCATTGTGGTGCCCCCCCCCATGAAGCATGGGCTCCAGGCACGTGGGCCTCAACAGCTGTGGCACACAGGCTCAGTAGTTGTGGCGCATGGGCTTAGTTGTTCTGCGGCAGGTGGGATCTTCCCGGACCAGGGCCTGAGCCCGTGTCCCCTGCATTGGCGGGCAGATTCTTAGCCACTGCGCCCCCAGGGAAGCCCTGTTTTTCTTGAAGTGACAGATTTACTTCATTTTAAAGAAAATGTCTGCCAGATATCCCAGTTAAAACAACCATAGTTTATCTGTCAGTCATCCTTTCAAGTAAAAACAGTGTTCTTTAAAGGAAAAAGCAGCTAGTTCAGTTCACAACTCAACTCAGATGTTCACGCTGGCATTCTTCCTGGAGACAACCATCATACTTCACGCTACAGTAGAAGTACTTTACAAATACTTCCCATGTCATCACACAAAATGTTAGAAGGACTTATGGCCAAAGGTCATGATTTGGTAAAATGTGTAATTTTTAGTGCTTCATCAAGGATATTCTTAAATGAATCTGGTAGTGCAATGCCTGCTTTCTACTTTATGAATTCAGTGACCACTTTTAAGGTTTGGTGGCCTTGCCTTAATTCATGCCAAGGTACCAAGAAGTTGACCTAACCTTGTTTTGTCCTATCAGTGGATATTACAACACAGTGAAAAAGGCATCTTAGAGTTATTATGAATAGTTTTGACCCTGTGGACCCCTCACAGTGTCCTGGGAACCACCAGGGATTCATAGATCACACTTTGAAGAAGACTGACTTAACGTAATGCCAGGATTGGTAACCATTTGGCATCGCTAACAGTTGTGGTATTTTTTATTTACCACCAATTTTTTATTTACCACCAATTTTTTATTTACAATCAGGTGTTTCAAAAAATCAATATTCCTCATATAGATATAATTACTCTATGTATTCGTATCGATATATTTCATTAGTCAAGATTATTCGTATACATTTCTTGTTCCTGCTATTTATTTAACAATACAACAAATTATTGATAATCAAGTTCATTAAAGTGTTTACATTTAAGGGGATAAATTAGGAGATTGGGATCAACCTATACACACTACTGTATATAAAATAGAGAAACAACAAGGACATACTGTTTACCCAGGGACCTAGACTCAATATTTTGGAATAACCTATAAGGGAAAAGAATCTGAAAAAAATAGATATATATGTATATGTATATATGTATAACTGAATCATTGTGCTGTGCACCTTAAGCTAACACAACATTGTAAATCAACTGTACTTCAATTAAAAAATGTTTACAGAGACTTCCCTGGAGGTCCAGTGGTTAAGACTCCATGCTTCCCCTGCAGGGGGCGTGGGTTATCCCTGGTCCGGGAACTAAGATCCCACATGCCGCATGGTGAAGCCAAAAATAATAACGATAATAAAATAAAATAAATAATAAAAAATGTTTACATATTTAAGTATTAAAAACACATTTGATTATTTTATGATGTTACTATTACTCTATAATTTCAAAATAATTAAAACTTGTCTGGGTATTAATGTGAAGTGACCCCATGGTCTTAGAGTCATGTAGGTAATACCTTGTGTTATTAACATATTGTACATATAAATGCACTGAATGAATCCAATATAATATGCGTTCAGAGTAAATGAAGGGGAACCTACAAGACTGATAGAACTCAGAAGTAAACAACATATTTTATACCACTTGATCCAGAAATACCTAAGGTTTTGATACTGATTTGAAATTTCCAATTTATATATATTAGATGCTTGATTTCAGTAGAAAATAATTTTATGATGACTTCTTGAACAGTGAAGTCTACAGTTTCTGCATGGACGACAATTCTGATTTTGTATTTCTTTTCTCTTCTCTCACCAGGTTTGATAGCTGTTGTGATCTTTATCTTGCTGTGCATCACTGCCATAGCTGTCCGCATTTATCAGCAGAAAAGGTTATACAGAAGAAATGAGGCAAAAAGGTCAGAGAATGTAGACAGTGCTGAGGCTGTTTTGAAAAGTGAGCTTAATACACAAAATGCAGTCCGTGAAAATCAGAAAGAGTACTTCTTCTGATCGGCAGCAGTGATTTACCTTATAATTACAGCAGTCTGATTTAATAGCCAGGGGCTCTCAAGGGACAAAAAACAGTTCTTACATTGAATGTACAGGCAATGGATTTGCAGCACTGCCATGTTGCCATGTCCAGACTCGAGACAGCTCCAGGAGGCCTCATCCAGTGACATACTTCCCACAGTGGTCATTCTATATAACAAGGAGTTTTAGATATTGAGATTAATTTCCAACTGTTCTGATATGATCTGAAACAGAAGTTTAACCCACTTGAGAGCTACAGGTTTTCAATGTGAAAAGTGTAGCCCTGGCCTCTCAGCCATAAGTGATACCTAAGTTGTGTGAGAGGTGAAAGTCAAAATTGGACTATAATGACCTTGCTTTATTTGAGAACATATTCTGTGTTTGCTTTCGTGTCCCCATGGTGTTATTCATAGACCTGGAAATGCTTCTAAGATCCTGTTTGGCTGGTGTTTGCATCTTCAGTGGCCAAAAGTATATAAACCCCTTTGCCTTTCTCTGTATTGCATTCAATACAATTTATCAGTAGTGTTGAAATATGTTTTGTTGTCACTGGTTTGTTTGTATTGCTCTTTTTCTATTTGACTCTTCTCAATGATTTTGAAAACTTTAGGTTTTGAGTGTCAGGCTCCAGCTCTGAACATGCAATTCATATGTAACAAGACCTACAAAGTGCATTGCTCATCAGTATGTGATGTCTTGCCTTTAACACTTTTCTGTTTAACTTGCTCTCATGGTTCGGTATCAGCAGTAGTTAAGACCCTGGGTAATGCCAGTTGCCCAAAGAGTGTGAAATGTTGGCACGTAAACTCGTTGATATAAAAAACACAATTCTTAACACTTCAAAGAATTGTTTTTATTTACAACTGTAATATCTCAAATGAAATATACTTCCGAGAATATTTTCCCCCAAACCTTATGTCAGTTTTCTTTATAGGTTTATATTTCTATTTTCCTAAAGTTTATCACCCACTTTTCCTTGATCTCCCTTTACTGTAGTCCATGGAGCATCTTCTTATGTATTAGAAAAAAGAGACACTTGAAGTGTAGAGCTCCATTCTTCATTCTAAACTCTATCTCCCCCCGCTTCAGGCATATATTTTGCTGTGCACTGACATCCAGGTGTACTTTTTGAAATATAAGCCGCACCATGCCCCCTTTTTTCAAATCCAGTAGAGTTATTCAAGAATGCTCCTCCTAAGGGGTGATGGCATATTACATGTCATATTCTAAGTCTGTCGTTCTAGTCACTTCTCATTTACGATGATGGGGTGTATTTCTCAAAAAGAACCAAAAATCAATATAACTTACTAACTAGTTCATTTTGATTAGGAGATATATACCTAACAGAAGTTCAAATAATTATCAGTAACTTTATGAAACTTGCAATAATTACCCTTGAGGCCATGTAAACAAGATGCTTGCATGTAGCTATCTTTGAATTCCACAAGCCAATTGTATAGCAGAGGCACTTCGGAATTTACACTCACACTTTACAGGTGTCTGCCAAAGAAAAACTGGATTCCTTCGTTCGTTCACACCAGAACAATTTGGAAATATGTAAATTAAACATATTTTTCTTTATTTTCCTTCTTGACTCTCCTTACAAAACCTGCCTGTCTTTTCTCACAGCACTATATCCATTTTGATGTTTCTGTAAATGCCCGACTAAATCTCAAGGATATGAATTAACAGTAGTTTATGAAGGACCTATATGGATAAATGGCATTTTTGTTGTTGCTGAAAGGCTTGTGGTAGCTACCAAAGGATTGAACATGAAAATGGTAGTTTTCATTTAATGCAAAGCTGAATACAAACACTGTAACAGCTCTGAATCTTTCACACGTGTTCTTGTTATTTAGTAGCAGCTTTAACCTGGTTGGGAGCTGGAATGTAAACAGGATTATAGATGGTGAAGCCCCGCAGTACTCTGTGGTCTGCCGGCTAGGAACTGCAACATTATAGCATCAAAACGCACTGATACATCATATGCCATGACTTGCATTCCCTGATTTGTAATCTGTTCCTTCTTTTTTCTTAATAAAATGCACTTTTGAAGTAAAATGCAGAATATATTTTGAGATGTTGTATAAAAGTTTAAAATGAGGGAATTATACTGGATGTTTTTTTCTCAAAACAGTAAAAAGATGCGTAGATGTATGCCTTCTTTACTGGTGTTCGTGGGTTTTTTTGAACCTTTTGGTACACCCCGTGATTATTATGAATTGTTAACAAAAGCTGCATTTATAATTTTTCCTTTTAACTGGACTCAGAAATGAAAGAAAAAATAGGAAGATGTTTACTGATTGTAACAAGTAAAGGAAGTTAAAATAGATTTTAAGTTTTGCCAAAGAACAATGATTTGACTGTTAGCAGTTGTTTGCTGAAAGGTTATTTTATATTTAAATTGGGTGATATCCTTTTACTTCTGCCAAGAACTTGGCTCGTCTATACAGTGAGCCCCGTATAGATGCACAGGATTATACGTAAGAATACAGCACACGCTGATGTAATATAAAAGTTTAAAAATTCTTTATTGGTGATTTCAAGTGAAAAAAATGAAAACAATATGTAATTAACATGTCCCAAATCTCATTAAATCCAGATGTGCAATATGCAAATAAAGTGGGGTCAGGGTGGCGCAGGAAATGAGGGTCACGCGTGGAAAATGATGTCTTAATTTTGTAGAAACCACGTCCACTCTAGGAAACAGTTCCATTTTTTAAAATCCTTTCCCAAGTGTGGCTCTTTAAAGCAAATTTAATAAATTCTTCGGACGGTAAGTTAAAGACAGCAGCCAGAAGGAGAAGCTTTATCTAGACAAGCAACCAGACAGAAGTCAAGGGTTCAAATTACCTTTCATCAGATGGTATTGTCCTTCATCTATAACAGAGCCTGGCGACAGAGTCCGTCGTGCAGCTGGCCGTCGCTGATATATTAGTGTGAACAGCTCAGTTTTACAGATGAAAGGTCTGAGACTCCTATCTGTGAGGTTATATTCCCAAGGGGACATGTAGTCGTATATAATAAGCGACGAAGCTGTGACAAGAATTTCATTTTCACTCCACATTTTGCTGATCATTAGTGCCTTTAAGACCTGGAGTTTTGACAATTATTTAGTGGTGTAGAAAGGATCTTGGTATCCTTTTGGTCCAGAATGACCTATAGTTCTAGATCTTTTCCATATCCTTTTTAAATGAACATAAACCGTTATTTGGTAGGTCGTGGCTGTTGACAGATTTTTCTTTAAAAAAAAATATTTATTAGGCTTATGGTTCTTGACTCTAGGAAAGATCATTTTAATCGAAACACATATCGTCTTTGTGAAATACTCAATATGAGTTAGATCTGACTGAGTCCTCAAATGTTTTCCTCATGATAGAAGATGACACATCTCATATCAAAGTGTGTAGTTGATTGTTTGACTTTCCAATCCATGTATCAACTAAATGACAAATCTAACTAAACAATGCAATTTTACAGATGCATTCAGTAAGTCCTGCTTGCCTTCTACTTTTCCAAAGTTGGGATGATGGAGAGTGATAACAGGGAAGAAAAAGTTTAGCAGCCGACTGTGTGTTAGGATTGTGTGCGAGTGAGCACATGCGCACGAGAAAGAATACGACGTGAGGAGCAAGGGAATATGAACATTTTGCATATAATGTGGTAAGAGACTTGGACTTTTGATGTATCGATAGCTTCCCTGGAGCCTGGCTTTGAAGATTTGCAAATGCAAATAAAATGGGATGGAAAACAGCCTGACCCACAATTATAATGGCTTCTCAGGTGAAACCATTTTTTTATTCTTTTCCCTATTTATAATGTTAAATTTAAAAAATACATGCATATATTTTAAAATTTAAATAGTATTCAATACAAGAAGTCTTACAAGGAGAAATAGCTCTGTTGCCGTATCGCTTTCAGCTCCTTTAGCCGTCTTTTTTTAGCTACCTCCATGTTTCTTAATTATATGCTGTAACAGGCTGGGTTCCCTGGGAAGCAAAGTCTTAAGACAGAGATTATCGTGAAGGAAATTTATTAGGGAATATTGTAGAGATCAGCATCTGTTGGGGAAAATGGGGCAGATGGAGAAGTTGGTACAATCACAAAAGAGACTCAGCCAACCCTGTTGATGTGGCCCATTAAAGATGTCGTGAATTGGGGTGAGAGGGCTGGGCATTTTTACTCCTGTATCATCCAGGCATTGGGTATTGACTGCTTGGTGACCAGGGCATGAACTTGGACAAACAGCTCTCTTCAGCTTAGGTAGTTCCTGAAGAGGGAGGATAGACCTCCTCCGCATCTGGGGGATCTGGGTGGCACAGTGTACCATCCCTGAGGGTCCACCCTGTGCTTCTCAGACCCACCTGCTTCCTGTGAGTTCTGGGAGCAGCTCCTTCAGGACTCTGGTGGGCCTTGTTGCCCTGGGGAAACTTACACCAGGAAAGAGGGTAGAACAGACCACAGACCCTGCCCCTGCAGGGGGTCTCATTAAAATTTAAAGAGTATTCAATACAAGAAATCTTACAAGGAAGAATAGCTCTCCATTGCCATATCCCCTGCCGTATCACTTTCAGCTCCTTTAGCTGTCTCTTTTTAGCTATCTCCATGTTTCTTAATTACATGCTGTAACAGGAGACTGTAACAGGAGAATGAGCTGGGACTCATTCTCTCCCTCCTCTACAACCCATACCAGACTCCCATATCGCGAGCTGACAACTCTGCAAAGAGTTGGAACCCTTGTCTAGTATATAACCTTTCCAGGCTGCAGCTGCTGTACTTTTGCATTTACCATTAAAATTGGTCAAAGGGGTATCTACCTGCCAAACATATTCTTCCCGCCCCCATAGCGTAACAGCAGCTCTGTCTATTATTACCGATCAGGACAGTTCCCCCTGACATGACCTCCCACGTTGACACTGCACTAGCTAAAGATCCGCGTTACAGCAAAGGGTGTGTGAGAGTGATCAGGTACTGTGGGATATGCTGGTCCTTCCATATCACACCATCAGAAGCTCTTCGTAGACACTCAAAAGGTGGTGTTGGCTGATGCCTTGCAGGCAGTAAAGGCAGCCCATACCTGAAATAAGTAATGATGCTAATCAGAAGTAATCTCTGTCCATTTCAGGGTAGAAAAGATCTGATGTAGTCAGCTGGCCGCAAAACTGGTGTCCTCGTAGAGGGGAATCTTTGTGGGGAATGAGTGCGGGTCTCTGCTGCTGACCATTTGAACACTCAGGAGCGGTAGTAGTGACAACAGTCCTGATGGATGGGAGCTAATCTGCTTAGGATGCATTGCTTCCATTCCTACCTCCGTGGCTACTCTGCTCATACACCCATTGTACTAGCACTTCAGTGGTCAGTGATTGAGTGGTTGACACCAACTGGCTAAGTCCTTCTGTCTACTTGGTTGTTAGTGAGTATTCCACAGCAGCATAAGCTTTCTGGTGGGCAAAGATCTTGACATTCATGCCCACCTACCCATAGGTCCATCCACATGCTTCTACCTCAGACCTCCTTGTC